AAGGAGCCTACAGACCAGAGCGGCGCAGCGGTGAAGCGGCGAGCGATAGCCAATGAGAGCCATGCTTTTACGCAAAATCATGGCTCTCATTGGCTATCGCTCGCCGTTTCACCGCTGCGCCGCTCTAGTCTGTAGGCTCCTTAACTGAACAGACTTGAGCGCCGCAGCTAACGCCTGCAACGCCACAACTGCAAGCGGTTTCGAAATTTACCGGTGCCGGTCTGGCGCGAATGAATTCTGTGGACTGTGGAGTGTGATTGGAGGATTTGGAGGTTAGAATTGATAGAAGTTACACTTGATTTTTTTAATCACAACGAATTATATAGCAAGCCCATATAAGTACAGTATCGAATGCGTAATTATGTCAATTTTCTTACATCATTTTATGTTGTCAAAAACTTTACATTCTAATAATTTCAATAATAGATATATTTTCTTTATATTTAACCTATACTTGTTTCTTCTCTGAAGCGGCATTTTGTCATATAATATCTTGGTAATTTTTAAATTATTTTGTTTTTTGTGCATTAAAACTAAATAATTTTCTTAATATTAGAATAATTCTAAAAGAATAAAAAATGATTGGTCTCTTCAAAACTCATGATCTATATATTTATCGTCACTTAAAATTAGTTTACAAATATTTACATATTTGTACATTTCGTCTTGTTCTAGTAATACTTTTAGGAGAAATGAGGAATATGACGCTTACAGAAATGGAGCCATTAAAAATGCACTTAGACTCATTAGAGATGGCTGGAAAAATGGTGGATAAACATATTATTGTAGACAGTAATTTTCCATCCTTAATTAATCTTATGCGATATAATGTCCAAGGTAAATTATACATATATAAAAATTGAAAAATTATAATTATAAATGTAACTGTGAAAGATATTAATGTTAATTTGAGGCTGAGCTATAGCTATAATTAATATATTCTCCATAGGTGGACCAACCGTTAGTGGTCTCGACGATCATGACTATCCTAATTTAAATGGTGCATCAATGACTTTAACAAATATTAATCAAATGAAGATACATAGTAAAATTCCTTTGCCTTCTGAAGTCATGGAACACTTTGGTCGTATCCTTTCTAAATAGTGAAAAGAAACATTTTGTTACGTATTGGTTTCTGTAAATTATAATAATTTGTAGTATAAAAATATCAACTTATAACTCTGAAACATACACACATGGAACAAAATTTATTAATTATGATTTATCAATTAATCAGCTGCTTTTTTATGGAATCTAAATTATGATTATTTTATGAATATTAAATATATTTAATCCTTAATAAAAATGTAGATATGCAATGTCATTGTATGATGGGCCTTTTCACAGAGATTTCAAAAGCATGGCTTACAATTGATAGTGATATTTATCTGTGGTCATATGAAAATGAGTAAGTATTAACATTTATTATCAGAATTTTACTGATAAATATAAATTTATAAACTTTTATATACATGAAACTAAAACGTTTAAAATCTTTTGCTCTAAAATTGTATAGATCTGATGTTGCTTACTTTGATGGATTGAATGAAACTATTATAAGCGTAGGTTTAGTAAAACCCAAGGCGGGAATCTTCCAAAGCTATGTGAAATACTTGTTAATTCTTACAACAACAGTAGAAATAACTATTCTTGGTGTTACAATACCTGATGCTGGAGGAGGTAATAATTTATTGCAATTCTATTCGTTTGTGTTTGTTAAGAATGATTCTTTAATTCAATTTAATCATTTTTTGTATATCCATAGAAATGCAGTTAGTTCCAGAACCGATCTTTACTGTTACTACTGATGGAATAGGAATCACTACAATTGCTAATACCAATAGTGGTAGAATATTTCTTGGTGGTAGAAATGGATCACTATTTGAAATATATTATCAGGTTGAAAATTTTTACAAGCATAAAATACATTTTATTCATTATTTTTTATCTCATTTCTTAAATTTATTTTGTATCGATGGATTTTTCTACATATAGGCAGAGAGCAGCTGGTTTGGTAAACGATGTAAAAAAGTTAATCATTCAGAAGGTCCATTATCATTTCTAGTGCCGTCATTTGTTACTATGGCATTGTCAGAGGAAGAAGCTATAATACAGATATCTGTGGATGATTCACGTAATATTTTATATACATTAGGTGATAGAGGCACAATCACGGTTTGGGATATTGATAATGGTGGTGCGTCTAAAATTACTTCATTATCTCAAGCTTCTTTGGTACAAAATACTGTCCATGTTGTTAAGTAAGTAATCTTATTAATGTTACATGTATTTAATGTATACAGACATATATAATATAGTATAATACTTGCTAACATAAATTGATTTTTAAAATTATTAAAACTTATTTTTTTTAGAACTCTGGATAGTAACAATTTTCGACCTCTTGTAAGCATATCAGCTATAATGGAATCCGAATCGGTACATTTGAATTTGGTCGTTGTTGCAGCAACAGGAACTCGTTTTTATTTCAGTTGCACTTCAATTTCAAATCCATCGAGTAGACCACAAGGGTTACAATTGATACATGTTAGGCTACCACCAGGCTATGCTGCAAATGCTCCAGTAATGAGACCACGAAAAGTACAAATGGCCTATTATCGAAAGGGTAATTTATTTTTCTATAATATATCTTGAATGACACATTTGATGAATATAATTCATTACATTGTGTGAAATATTTTCTAGGAACCCTCTTTCTTGTTTGCGGTGGTGATACGGAAACCGCATGGTGTTTAAGTAACGATGCTTATCCATTCACAAATTATTTGGCTGAAACTCAGAGTATTTTGCCTCTTGACAGTCCAGCTTGGGCTATGGAGGAGATCATAAGAGATTCGGCTATACACATAGAGAAGCAAAGCAGTGCTCAGGGTGAACCACCCCTATTAGTGCGCCAACATATGGAACCACCAAGGAAATTTATATTTTTAACAGCACAGGTATATATAACAGATACATGTTTATCTTACATATTATTGATGCGTATATATTGATTATTATTGTTATATTTATTTCGTTACAGGGAGCGATAATCTTAATGCAAGTTCGTCCTGTAGATATATTGAAACAACTTCTCTTAGAACAACGTGGTCCTGATACTGAAGTAGTACGTGCATATTTTCAAACACAATCCTTGGAACAAGCTTGCGCAACATGCTTAATTTTGGCGACACTTGAGAGTTCTCAAAATGCTCAGGTAATGATGCATTTGTGTTTGAAGAGTTGCTTCATTAATTAATTAATACCAGTACTGGGTCTATTGTAGTGAGTTTTATGAGATTGTTTAAACTCTCCCTCTTTAGATTCCTAGGTTTAATATAATTCTAAAATCTGCAACTTTTTTAAGTTAACTATGCAAATTATTGTCTTCAATCATCTCATATAAAATTAAATATGGTGATAGTCGAAATCGAATTTGAAATCCAAAACAAATTTTTTTTACACGAGTCATGCATTATCATCTTAAAATTTTATTTATATTGTTAATTTTGTTCTATCTATACTATATACTATGTATCATTAATAACTAAACATTTTTCATGTTGTAGTTATCGGAATGGGCAACTCGCGCATTCTTTCTATATGGTGGTCAAAGAATAGCAGGAATATGTCCTCCGATTGATATACATTCTGGTTTCCCTACCATAAATCCAGGTGCAGTATTGTTCTCTTAAAATTAAAATGTCCATATAATATTTGATTTATATATTTGATTTACATCTTAATATATAGCAGATTTACGCACGTCTACACCTAGAATGCCAACCTTCGATTCTAGAGTTCAATCCTTTCGATCGCCCACTCAAATGGGACTTACTACAGATATTAGTTTGCAACATTTCTCTGCTAAACATAGCGGGTTGTATTTATATGTAGGAAGAATACTTCGTCCTATATGGAATGTAAGATGTATAAAACAAGAAACAATAAGTAATAAAAGCGTGGTAAGTAACATTAGAAAAAAATTATTATTGTACATAGTTTTTAAAAAGATATTTCCTCGATTGTCTATTTTGAGACAAATTGTATTGTTATTTTTATTTTTAAAATTTTAATGCTTATATAAATTACAAGTATTGCTTATTTTATTCAGATTTCCAGTACAGTACCAGCAACACAAATTGCTTGGATCTTAGGTCATTTGCAAGCACTTAGATCTTTCTTAAACAGAAATACACATATCACAAAACCGTATGTATTTTCTAAAACATGATTTTTTAATATAATTAAAAAATCATATATTATATAATATATATGTATAATACAATTTTATTAGATTATAGTAAGCTAATTAGGAAATCAAAATTAAAATAAATATATACATATACAGACAAAACACAAGCAGAGGTTTAACAGATGGTTTTGAAACAACGATGCAAAGTCACTTTCAAGAACCAATTGTGGAAGAAAGAAACTCATTGGATGCTTTAAAAGTTTTCATTACTCATGCATGTGAGGTTTTAGGTTTATGGAAAATATTATGCGAAAATCAGCTAAATAATATCGTCAACTGCCTATCAAAAGTAATTTAATTTTCTTTTATTAGTTAAACTTACTGGAAGAAGATAATTTTTAAGATAAATCAGAATATTGATCTTTCAGGATCAAATTACTCAATTTTCTACAGCTACCTTCAGAGATTTGATTTTAATAGGCCATGAAATATCTTCTCTACTCATCGTTCATTTGATTGATAGGTAAGTTTATAAAAATTTTGTATTAAATATTCCAATAATTTAAATTTAATATTTTACAGTTATCTTGGAGACAACGCGTCAGTGGATTCCGTAAGTGTAAAATTAAGAGAAGTGTGCCCCAATTTATATAGAACTGAAGATGCTGTTTGCTCCAAGGTAACATAAACCTCATCTTTTTTTTTTATAAAAGTTATCTTGTCAACATTCATATGATATAAGAATTATATGGTATAATAATTATAACCATTTTCGTAAATGTAGGCAAACGAAATTCTCCTAAAAGCAAAGGGGTGCACAAATCCTGAGGATAAAGAATGTTATCTTCAGTCCGCTTTAATGGTACGTTATAATATCATATCTGTGCATCAAAAGACAATAATTGATTTTCCTAATCTATTAAATATTTACACAGCTTTGTAAAGAGGTGGCACCAAGATTGAATCTGAATGCAGTGTGCCAACAATTTGTCGCATGCCAGTTTTACACAGGTGTACTTGAATTGTGTATTTGTTGTGCAGAAAGGATAGATCCTAATAACGCTGCTTCACATTATTATAAAAATAATGAACCTATAGAGGATCAAGAAGGAAATCTTGCTTTTACGAAACGGTATATAACAACGTATATCTTCATGGATAACAATAAGTAATGATTTAATATATTTTCATATTATTTACAGTTCAGAGATTTATAAGGAATTTACCGCGATGTTAGATCACTTATATCACCAGAGTATCTCTAATCCTTTAACGCCAACTATACCGAGCAAGCCAGGACCTCCTTTACAAACAGTATTAAATGCTGTTGTAATACCGGCGAAAGAAATTGTATGTAATATAAATTTTTTGCTTATTTGAAATGCATTATAAAATATTAATATTTTTTTAGTTACATGATATCATAGATGATGCACTGCATGCACCATGTGAGACTCTTCATTCCTCAATTTATACTTGGATGATAGATAGAGGACTTCACGGTGAATTAGTTGCCTTTGCTGCACCTTCACTAGAAACTTATCTCAATCGTGTCAATGCGCTTGAATTACTTTGGCAGTTTTATGAAAGAAATAAGAATCATGCTGCTGCAGCAAGGATCTTGGATTCTTTGGCTACCAAAGGGTATGCACATATACCATATGTTGCTTTAGTATGTGCTTTTACGAAACGGTATATAACAACAACGTATATCTGTATAGATAACAATAAGTAATGATTTAATATATTTTCATATTATTTACTATTGCTTTAGTATGTGGTATTTTGACAAAGATATAAAAATTTATATTCAATTTTTTTATAGATCGGAAATATCACTCTCAAAAAGAATCGAATATCTAGCACGTGCAGTTGTATGTATGCGAAGTCATCAAACTGGATGTGCTCCTCATCTTGGAGTGTTCTTATGCGAATTAGAAGATAAATTAGAAGTAGCTAGAATGCAACAACAGGTACACGTTTTAAGCTATTATAATCATGGATTCAATACTTAAAGTGGAACATCAAGAACTTCACGATTTAGATTTTTCTTTTATGTATGCATTAATTGAAAAATATCTTAAAAAAAGAGACTTATTATTAAAATTAGTAAATAATAAATAGATTGTAAAATTTGATGTCCCATTCATGTTTTCATATTTAAAATTTTATGTATTATGTTAATAATTTCCTCAAATATGTTTAACAGATACTTGAGATTATCAGCAATCAGCAAAACCTGTTCGATTCGATGATAGTTACAGATGCAAAATTGAAATTAAATTCTTCATTACTTGATATTACACCGGTTTGTAATTTTTTGACAAAAGTATGATTTTTTATTTAAATCTTATATCTCCTTAAGATTATTATATACAATATTAATTACAGTTATATCGAGAATATGCTGAGCCTTTACAACTTTGGGAATGCAAACTAGCTATTCTTCATTGCTCGGGTCATCAAGATGACATGTTAATTAAAGGAATTTGGACCAACATAATTGATAATGGTATATAATAATTTGCATATTTAGAATACTTTAACAATAGTTTTCTCAATTTTCTAATGAATTCTTAATGTTCGTAGAATTAGAAAATATAACGGAACCATCGAATGAGGATAAAATGACTATTTTAATGTGTAAAATTAAATCACTTGGTAAAGAATATATTGGATCACCGCATTGTTTCCCAATTGGTAATTATATTTTATGTATATTTAATTTTTTATATTATACATAATAAAGTTTTATATTAATATTTTTCTTAAATTTTTTAATTTTCTTATTTTAGATTTTTTAGTAAAACAATTGGAAATAAAAGCATGTAAATATAAAGTAACTAATACTAGTATTATAACTTCTTTCTTGGAATTGGGAGTAGCAATGGAAGATCTTTTAGATATTTATGATAAGTAAGTGCATTAATTACAAAATTTTTCATATTGTAAAGTATTTATTTCATACACATTATTTGTCTTTAGAATGATTGGTACAAATATTCGTATTTGGTTAAATGAAGGTAACGAATTTCACTTGATCGAATCAACAGCAAACTTGGTAAATCATTTCATAAAAAATATGACTGTAACAAACAATTTAGTCAGGTGTGTATTATTTATAAACTATAATCTTGATTATAACTCATTGTACTTCATTGCAAAGACTAGAAATAAATTAACACATAAGATATTCAGATTTTTTAATTAAAATAAAATATTTTATTTTTAAATAAAAAAGAAGAAAGTATATAAAATATATAATTTAATTTAAATAAAAATAATTTTTTTTATTTTTAATTACTAATCAAAGTCGCAATGTTTTTTAAATTGATACTAATTCAAAACTTCTTTTACTGTAGGAGAAAGATTATAACAAAATGTCAAGATGTTATTTCGAAATGTTTAACAACTCTCTTTAGTAAACCTAATAGTGGAGAACTCGAAAGAGAAATAACAAATTTGCGCTCAATTCAAAGTATATTGAATCGTATGTAAAACAACTTTGTTAAAGAAAAATGTGTACATGTATATATACACGTTATTATAAAAAGGAAGTAAGCCTTGTGACTTCTAAGTTATTTGATACTTTTTCCTGACGCAAAAAGCAATGTTATTTATGGCACTATCATTAAATAAATTAATTGCTCAATTTTTATTAATGTTTATCAAAAAATAAAATTCACTCAATTTATTCCAGGTAAACTATTACTGTATAATCTTTTACAAATTTGTAAATTCTAACAATACTGTATGCTCAATAATATAAAATGTCAAATATATGTGAAGTATGTGTTTGAAATTATTCCCCCCCATTTATTATTTAACATTTTATATAAAATGTTAAATACGCTTTATACATACAGGTTGATTAAAACTGATAAAATAAAGTTGTAAATTTAAGAACATTTCAGCTTTATTCGAGATTAAACGATATAATATAATATTTAGATTTTATATACAAGATGATAAAATTTAAATCAAAATTTAGAAGTGAAGTAATTTAGAAAGTACATCTACAATTTTTAGCTTAACTTGATTTTAATAGAAGTTGTTAAATAAAATTTTATCATGAATATGTAATCAGTAGCACTACATTTTAGAATAATTATTAAAGGTCTACAAGATATGTAGTGTTTTTACTGGAATAAGTAAATTAAAAAAAAAATAAATGTGTCTAAAGATATTAATTTCAAACAAATAAGTCTATATTAGCTATATAAATTACTTGTGATTACTTGTTAAATTATCTCTTAAATTAATAATAAAATATTTTAAATAGCTTAGGAATATAATTATTAACTTACAAATTATCGTCGGAAATAAAACTGTTCCAGACCTATCTAGGTATCAAATGTTTTTTCGTATTATGGTATTGATTAACATCTATTTTTGTCAACTACTTACTACTGTATAAATAAGAAATACAGAGCAAATTGTATAATCAGCAAACAGGACGAGATCGTACCATCGTGTGAATATTTTGGGGCCCTGAAAAGGGCCATTTGTTGCTCGAATTGCGAACCAGAGGTTGTTGTCTCACATCAGTTTACGATTATGCTTTCTTTTCAGTTTTCTTCGGCAACAGTACCGCCTGAATGTTCGGCAAAACACCACCTTGAGCAATGGTTACACCGGACAACAATTTGTTTAACTCCTCGTCGTTGCGAATGGCGAGCTGCAGGTGTCTCGGAATGATTCTTGTCTTTTTATTATCACGAGCCGCGTTGCCGGCCAACTCCAACACTTCAGCAGCAAGATACTCCATCACGGCGGCTAGGTACACTGGTGCTCCAGCGCCTACGCGTTCGGCATAATTTCCCTTCCGCAATAATCGATGAATACGGCCCACGGGAAATTGTAATCCAGCTCGGTTGGAGCGGCTCTTCGCCTTGCCTTTAATCTTGCCTCCTTTACCACGGCCAGACATCTTGATCTAATCGAGCGTAGAAAGCCTCTGTGCGGACTGTACGACGTCGTCGACAGCAGAAAGCGTTTTGAGCGACTGCTACGAAACCAGCAGTATTTATAGGTAATGGCGTCAGTAACGTTCGACCAATGGCGTGCTAGCGAAACTGCCATTGGCTGAACGCTGTTTGACGGTTAATAGTATGACTAAATATTTGAAATTTTTAACGTTTCTTCATCCTATTATTTCACGTAAAATACAAGTGAACAAAATAGAAATGATGGTTTAGAGAAAATATTTAGATTAATTATGATAATAATTTATGTGATTAATGTCCGTTTCTATCAATTACATTACTTTAATCTTAGTTCAACGATATGTTTTTTCCGAATTCTTATAACAAAAAAAGAATTAGTTGAAATAATTAAATTGCATTGATAAAATGAGTATTAGTTATTAATTTTTGATAATTTAATGCGTAAATTGATTGTAGACGTGTCGCATCAATGGAATGTACATTATAGTATTTTTTATTTTTTTTCATTATGTTGAGTGCCATTCGAATTTTGTATATAATAGTCTTAAGACTTGATTATGTGATGAAAATGTCGTAGAACACTTGCCAACTAATTTAAAAGCTTAAGACCGTAAAAATTTACATACAGTTTTAGAATATTTTAATAATTTAAGTTTGATTTTTCAATCCAAACGATATTAATAAAATTATCAAATACTTTTTATACAACTCTATTACAACAGACACAGAGAAATTATAAAAATAGCATAAAATATGTTTATAATAACTAAGATATGCTTCAGTAAGACGAATTAAAGAAAAATAAAAATCAAATTTAAATATGTTTTATCGTACCAATATTTACAATAAGTGTTATGATTATATATAGAAATTTTTGAAATTGCATTAAAACATACATTTAAATTAACTTTAATTATTATGTTAAATTTAACTTAAAAAATATATATATATTTTAATATTGATATTATTTTGAAATATTTAATCTCTTTTCAATACATAGTTTTATTTGATATATTTTAAAATAATAGTTAAGTACAGGATTCTTAATTTAAAAATAACAATTATGTAATACAAAATCACTAATAAGAGTCTGATAAATAGAAACACTTTATCAAATATTCAAATAAAAGTACTGAGATACTACAATCAAAGAATAAACTTTAATTAATATTACACGTTTCAGCTGTATGATTCAGCCCTCTTCAAATGTACAAAAATTATGTATCAAAATTTGTCTTATTATATTCTAAAACGTAAAATAGATGTACGATAAAAGCGCTACTTTGAAGAAATAAAATGCGATGGATATTCTGGACAAGATAAAATCGTCTTTGTTCACCAAACGATTGAATGACCAATTGAAATAGTGTTTCACCATGTTAAAATTGTTTTTAACATATCAATAATAAATAGATCGTCAAACGGTCAACATCTCGCAAACGTAATCGGAATCAAGAGAGACGGTCACATAAATGCATAAGTGTCATAGATTAAAATTAAAAAATTAAGAATTTCGATTCTCATATTGAGACTAGACACGTCTGACTTTCACGGTTGTCCATACAATATTGAAATTAATATATATATATATATATATATATATATATATAGATTATATATATATTTTATTAAATATGATATCATGATATATTATAGTTTTTCTTATTCTTACAATTAAGTATTCTTCAAAATCTTGTGTTTTGTGCTGTATTCAGTATTTTCCATAATCTTATTTCAATCTTATTAATGTTTATAAATTATAATTGGTAAATCGGTTTTTGAAAACTTTTAGAGATTGTTACATATTCAAGTATCAAATCAAATGTCGCTAGACATAACAAACAAATATTTACAAAAAGATAAGTAAGTAGCTTCCGAAAAATGCCCTTGCTTGGGGTACAGTAATTTACCAGAATAGAAATAATAAGTAAGAAGTGAAAATACATAATGTAAATAAAGTAGGAATGTAAGATAAGCGTAGAAATCAATTTTGAAGGAAAAGAGAAAGACTTAATTAGAAAGAAAAGAAAGGTACTGAAAATATAAAGAAAATAACATCGGTAGAAAATGGAAGAGTCATTTCATAGAGATATTAAAAAGATCACGGTGACAAAAGAAATCAAAAAAATCTCGTAAAAGAGATTGAAGAAGCGGTAGATATAAAGGAAAGCAGTAAAGAAAGAATAAATAGAAATTGAAGATTAACAATAAGAGTTTGAGTCTTAATCTTTTTTGATAAGTCTACTTAAAAATATTTAAGAATATCATATTTTCACTGAAAGATATATTGTATCGATAAAGCATCTTTAATCTACGTAACTGTAAACTGTTTATCAAAATTACAATTCGAGAGAGATAAATGTTCATTAAATATTATGTGCATACGTCCACGAGAAAAAGATTTATAAAATTGATATAATATAAATTCTAGAAATATTTTTGCATTCACTAATAATTTAATTATTGATATTGTAGCAAATAGAAAAAATTATAAAACTTTAAGAGAGAATAAATAAATTAAAAAGTTTAAAAACATTACTTTAAATACTAATTTCTTTAATAAATATATTAAAAAGAAGCATCAGTACAATTCTATTTTAATCATAAATAAAAATAAGGTGTATGTATGCAAACGAGAAATACCAGTTTGAAAAATTGTTGGCCCTGAAAAGGGCCGATTAAATAATTTCTTTTATATACGTAACGCTTAATTAAGCTCGCTCGCCACGGATACGACGTGCCAGTTGGATGTCTTTAGGCATGATGGTAACTCGCTTGGCATGAATAGCGCACAAGTTCGTATCTTCGAAAAGACCGACAAGATATGCCTCGCTGGCTTCTTGAAGAGCCATTACAGCAGAACTTTGGAAGCGAAGATCCGTCTTAAAGTCTTGAGCGATTTCACGAACAAGTCGTTGGAATGGCAATTTACGGATCAATAACTCCGTACTTTTCTGATACCGACGGATTTCACGGAGAGCCACAGTGCCAGGCCTGTAACGATGGGGCTTCTTCACGCCACCGGTGGCTGGGGCACTTTTTCTTGCAGCTTTAGTGGCCAGCTGTTTCCGAGGCGCCTTTCCTCCAGTCGATTTGCGAGCGGTCTGCTTGGTACGTGCCATTGTAACAGTCAAATTCCAAATGCGTCAAATTCTGCACGATCTAGATACTCTGTCGAGTCAAATTGTGAATTCGTCAGAACTGTTCCTGTATTATATACAACACTGAAAAATGCGCTGCGTTTGATTGGTCAATACTTGGGAGTGGGGTGAACCACAACGGTAGACGGAGAGCGTTCCTATTGGTGGATGTCGTCAGAGTGGGGCGCGTTGGAGAGGCTAGGAAATAAAATCGGCTGGTTTCTGAGATGAGCTACCAAAATCGTTTGGCATCTCTCTGAGTACGTACGACGATTAAGAGCAAACTATCATGACTGGCCGTGGTAAGGGAGGAAAAGGATTGGGAAAAGGAGGAGCGAAGAGACATCGTAAAGTACTTCGTGATAACATCCAGGGTATCACCAAGCCAGCTATCCGTCGTTTGGCACGTCGTGGTGGAGTCAAGCGTATCTCCGGATTAATTTACGAGGAGACACGTGGTGTACTGAAGGTGTTTTTAGAAAACGTTATTCGTGACGCGGTTACCTACACCGAGCATGCGAAAAGAAAGACTGTGACTGCCATGGACGTCGTCTACGCCCTGAAACGCCAAGGAAGAACCCTATACGGCTTCGGCGGTTAAACGTAGACAGTTTTTACTTTATATACAATCGGCCCTTTTCAGGGCCACTAAAGATCTCAAAACGTTGTATTTCTCCTTTCTGCAGTTTTTAAGAATTAAGATTTATATTAACGTTCAGGTAAATTAATATTGTATTCGTACCTCGTATGTTTTATTTTCCGAATTCTGTAGTGTGTTGTGTAACAATCTCATATTCAACAGAAATTTAAAATAAATGAACAAGATATATTTTTATTATGGACTTTATTTTTAAATATATTTTTATACTTACTAAGCAGATGCTCTTCTAAGTAGGAAGTCGATTGGTTTCTACGTTCAAAGAACATTTTCACGAAATAACCTCCGTGAAACCATAATCGAAAATAATGGAAAACAGTAATAGGACAAATTTTATTTTTACTTCAACATACTTTAATCAAGGAAACTTTGTTTATAATTTATTGTATATATAGCATCTACTGCATTCGTTTGTCGCGTATTAAACAAATCTATATTAAGAAAGTAATGCAATTGCACGTAGCTTTCAAACTTATTTCATATATTTGACTAAATTTCCAGATATAAGCACTTATGCGTGTACATAAATATGCACTCTGCAAATATACTATTGAATGCATTTCACTCTTTATATGTATATTAAAAATTGTACCATGACATCCGTGATTGAGATTTTCATGAAAGTATTTTCCCTGTATTATGAAATGTAATGGAACTTATTAAATACTTAAATATTAGAAACTATATGAAAGTAAAGCAGTTATGTTTAATTCTGTATGTACGTAACTTTAATATTCGGACAACAGAGTATTATTTATTACATAGTCTATTTTGAACAAAATAATGTTTCAATATTCTTGAGGTTATATAAGGATATTTGGTTACTATTAAAAACTATTTAAGACTAGTTCCTGTATTAATTTTTTCATGTTGAACAAAGCTGATTTAATTATTTGATAGAATAACTTCTTTTAAACGCTGAGACATATTACAAATAATTTTCTTAAATGTTCTTGTTACTTCATTCTTTTCCCAGTCATTGTTTCAACATGTTACAGTCTATTTTCATTTTACATGTAATGCATATTACACGCGCATAGATATTTAAAATTTAAATTATCTGTAACATCTGAAACGTTTAGCGCAATTTTTTATCATTGAATTTTACTATTTTTTACAAATAGCAGAGAATAAATTTGCAAAGAAAATTTTACAACCATCTTGTTTATATTCTAAAATAGTAAATAATTGTTAAATAAATGAGAGTAAGAGTTACGTAAGCGATTAAGGTTTCATAAATACTTTTATAACAAATATATGATGATAAATATAATTTTTATCTAGAGATATGAATATCAATCTCTATCTAGCATTCGATTACTTATAAAACCGGATTTGCGAATGAAACAATTTTAAAAATATAAAAATAAATGAAAAATTTCAATAAATCTCGGTTTCATAAAGTAATTAAAAAGTCGATAGAAATATACATCCTAATTATCATGACTACGATTGAATTTTCATGTTTGAAAGGTCTTATTTCTAAATATTTACATAACACAAAACTCTGTTAATAATAAAGGTCATTATATAAAATTAAAATACTTGAGTAATCTTAAACTGTTCGCAACTGAGTCTTATTTTATCGATTATATATATATATAAGAAGTACTATCATAAATGATATTTATTAATAACGAATAAAATAATATTGAGAATTTATATATGAAAATTCAACATGGCACTACACTGTACGTATTGATATACATTAAAAGTTGCTCTATATAAATATAACATACCTAAATTTTTATATACACACACACACACACACACACACACACACAATAAACATATATGATCGATTTTGACAATAAGAGTACATGTAAATTCTGTTAAATAACGTAACAATATTATTCAATATTTAATCGTAATTAAATTATCTATATGTTAATCTGATGTAAGTCAAATAAACGATAGAATTCGTTATATAGACAATATTCTAAAATTATATAAACTTAATAATTTCAAGCGAAATATCAAATGTTGAAAAAAATGTTGCTACAATTTATTCTTCAAAATTTTGTCTACGTAATCACTAAAAATAGGGATATGAATACAGACTTGAGAGAAAAAGAGAGATTTCCACGTTTTGAAGATTTGTTGGCCCTGAAAAGGGCCGATGTGCAAGATGTTGTGATTTTGAATATTCACTTGGAACTAGTGTACTTGGTAACTGCTTTAGTTCCCTCACTGACTGCGTGCTTAGCCAATTCTCCAGGCAAAAGAAGTCTCACCGCAGTTTGTATCTCACGAGACGTGATCGTCGATCTCTTGTTGTAATGCGCCAATCTTGACGCTTCGGCGGCAATTCTCTCGAATACATCGTTAACAAAGCTATTCATGATACTCATAGCTTTGCTGGAGATTCCGGTGTCGGGATGTACTTGTTTCAACACCTTGTAGATGTAGATAGCGTAGCTCTCCTTCCTCTTACGCCTCTTCTTCTTATCGGTCTTGCTAATATTCTTCTGAGCCTTGCCCGCCTTCTTCACCGCTTTGCCACTAGCTTTAGGCGGCATGTCGAAATGAACAGCAATGGAACTCTCAGTGTACGAGTTGTGAACCCAACGAGACCTGAGCGTCGATTGATTTTGCTCGGCTCTCGGCGTTCTTTATATACGAAACGGAGAAGCTAGGCGTCCACCAATCACAGCGTGCAGCAACTGCTGCGTAGGGCCGACCTCGTCTCATTGGTGCGCTGTAGAAACAACTGTCTCATGCTTTTGGCATTGAACTAACAGGATGCTCAAGTTAAACTTTGTGTTAAAATAATTTGTTGAACAAAATAGGCATGACAATTTAGTAACATTCGTCTTAATATGACATGTAAAAATGTATCAAAATTGCGTTGAGTTATTAAACTGTACTACTTTTAAAATAACTCTTGTCGACGCGAAACCTATCTTTCAATTAAACAATTAAATTTACGTACTTTAACATGATTTGACGTTTGTTACAAAATTTCAAGTTTCAGGTATAATTATATTGAAATGAATTACAAATAGAATTATGTAGAGTTTTTCATGATAAAGTTAGAGATGTAAGTTAAAGGAATTGTATTTTGCGACAGTTTATATATAATTTTCATCATTTCTGCTAATATTAATAGAGAAAATAATTATACGCTCCAGAGACTGCAAAACGTAAATCTAAATAAATGTGAGAATTTGATTTATGATGTAAAAATTGTGTGAAAAGTATAAAGTAACTCATGTTTCTTTGTCTGACCACATTTGACGCCCGAACAAAGGCAGGACATTCTTTCTCTTCCAACGCCATTTCGTGATACATTACGTCGAGAATCGAGACGATTTTACGTGTCCTGCCTGATGTTGAAACATTTTCAGATATTTATTTACTCTTTGTATTTATCTATGTAAATATGATATGAACAATATTGGAAATTAAGAAATATATATATATAATATCCATTATTATATATTTTTCTCGTTTCTATTATATATTTATTATATTTAGCAAAATTTATAAATCGATCAAAATTATAAAATATATAAAGAAGCTAGTTAATAATATTTATAAGTAACAAAAATTAAAAACAGTATTTATTTTAACATCTCTAAAATGAGACATTGAACGATTGAATTTCAAAGATAAAAAAGTAGACGTTCGTAATAGAAAATGAACAGATGAGATACGATCAATTTGATATTAATGTTGGAATTACAGCAGTCATAAAATATGAAAATATACGACTAAAGTAAAATATTCAAAACGTTTCATACACGAAACAATATTGATCCATTATTACAAACAAATAAGTAAAGCGACCTCGCGAGTAGAGATCTCGGTGCTTAATATTTTTAAATAAATTTTATAATCTGTTTCTAGTTTACGCAACGTTTATGCAAACTGCGCACGGATTATTTGTTGATTTTGAAACAGAATCCTAAACTAAAACTGAAGTGTTAAATGAAATTTATAAGCAATTTAATAATATCAGCATTTTTAACTACCGTAAAGAAATTAGAGAGTAGAAGTGGAAATAGTAAGTAGAAGTAGATAAATAAATAAATCGAATAAAAGAAAAATCTTATTTTCATAAACCGATCTTGATGTGTGCTTAATTACATAAATTTATATTTTTATTTCTAGAAGCTGCGCACTAATGTGATTTATCAAATCGAACAACTTATAATATAATGTTGAATACGTGGATAGGAAAAATGTATAAACATTCATTATAGAGATGATGAGGTATCAATGTTAAACAGGGTATTCCTTCATTGAGAAAATTTTGTGGCCCTGAAAAGGGCCATTTGTTGTAAGAGATGTCAGATTATGATTATGCTTTCTTTTCGGTCTTCTTAGGTAGCAATACGGCCTGGATGTTCGGCAAAACACCACCTTGGGCAATGGTCACGCCGGACAACAGCTTGTTCAACTCCTCGTCATTGCGGATGGCGAGTTGCAGGTGACGAGGGATGATCCTAGTCTTCTTGTTGTCACGGGCGGCGTTGCCAGCCAACTCCAATACTTCAGCGGCCAGGTATTCCATGACTGCAGCCAAGTAGACCGGTGCACCGGCGCCGACGCGTTCAGCGTAATTTCCTTTCCTCAGCAATCGGTGAATACGACCAACGGGGAACTGCAATCCCGCCCTGTTCGAACGGGACTTCGCCTTTCCCTTGACTTTGCCACCCTTTCCACGACCAGACATGATGCTCGATTAACGAAAACGGATATTCCTTCTTCGCAAGAGACGAGAGATTTGTGACGCTTCGCCGGCCGGGCACTCCCTTTTATACCCCGCGAGGATAGCTGGCTCCCCACCAATCGGCGTGCGCAGCTGCTCTCCGACCTGCCGATTGGTGCGCTGCAGCTGACGCGAAATGGTATATATAAGATAGCTCTGCCCTGCGCTCGATTTCATTTCTTCGTGAGCATCGAGAGCGGTTAGAGCGAATGACCTTTGTATTTTTTTTTTGCAAAATGGAAAGAGTCGAATTTCGTGCAGTAATCAAACATCTATATATGAAAGGTTTAACGCCAAAAGAAATTAAAGCCGAGTTGGATAATGTTTATAGCACTAAGCACATCTGCACTAGCGTTTGCGACGGTATAAAATTGGATGAATGAATTTAAACGTGGTGTCGTACATCCATATATGATGCACCTAGTTCGGGACGTCCGATTGAGGCTACTACGCCAGAAATCATTGATAAAGTCCATGATATTGTTTTGATTGATCGACGAGTAAAACGTGATCGACGATCATGTTTTGTGAGATGCTAACTGCGGTGGAGCTTATTCTTTTGCCTGGAGAATTGGCTAAGCACGCAGTCAGTGAGGGAACTAAAGCAGTTACCAAGTACATTAATTCCAAGTAAATTGAAATTAACGATAAAACGGACCTTTTTAGGATCAAGAATTCGAATGTTGACTTTTCTCTGAACTTCGCATTTTTAAAACTTTATTCTACAGAACACCAAAGATTTATGTACCCTAATAAACTCATTCAGTTTATATTGTAAATTTTTGATGTCAAGTATGATAATCTAATTCAAAAATTCACTTATTTGATATATAAAAAGCTATATAGCTCCTCTCTATTTATTACAAAATAATTCTCTCTAATCTTATTAGAATGCAACATTATTTTGAATTTAGGAAATCGAAATATGATATCCATGAAACGATTTGATATTTAGTTTTAGAAATTCCTTTTTGTTTGTACATTTATATTGTACAAGTAAAATAAATTATAAAATACATTATAATTAAAATTTAAATAGGATTATAAAATATATTCCACGTAACACCAACTAAATTGTATTTATATTATAATTCGCATTTGACATAAATATATTCTACATATAATATACTTGGTGTATACATAATGGTTAATAAGATTATTAATTTATAAAGATAATAGATATTATCTTTTGATTCTTGTCGACTACCTAATTATTTTACATTTTTGTTTTATTAATTGATTCAATTTTTACAAACATTAATGTATATTTTTCCATTCATCAAGTTATATTAATTTTATTAACAATAAATTTTTAAGTGTACCTATATTTTATTTCATTCGTAGATAATATACACAATGTATCACAAATATTTTAGTCTAATGGATAAATTCGAGTTTCTCGGCCTTATTTGTCATTATTGCCGAGGAAAGAGAGAGCATGCTGTTCGATTCTCTAACATAGGATTGTCAATCACGAATTGTAGGTCGACAGTAGGTTTCTTTCTCCGACAAGAAGTAGCCGTGAAAGTAAGATTAACAAACTAACGACTGTATTTTGCAAGTTAAATTTTTATGTTTGGCACTGCCAAGATTACATACTTTCATATACGAATGTTTGATTAGCCAGACCACGATCGTGCCGTTCTCGAAATAGACTCCGAACAATAATTAAATAATTGCGTAACGCACGTGCGGAGTGATAGAATCATGTGTTTCGCGAAATTTAAAGATAATCGAGATTGTCTAATTTAAATATCACGTAACGCGTGACGTGAAACTATTCGTGCTTATCTCGCAGGAAGTCTCACGCTGCAGTTCGAGTCGATGCGTTAACGGTTAAACAATCGATTTATAATGCGACGGAGAGTAATATTCCATAAATTCATTTTACAGAGGCAAGTGTCTTGATTCTCGTCTGCTTGACTGCCAAACGCGTCTCGGGGAAACGTTTCGTTTATGTTTATTTTCATTTTCCAGTCGTACGGTTGCTTTTCGTCCTAACCTCTCAAAAATTTCCAAGTGTACAAATTCGAATCGCGGTATGGCAACGGAGACGAAATTCCTGTCGGAGTCAAGAGCCGTTCTAAGAGATATCTTTCGTTCCGCCGTGAAAGCGGTGTCGCCGAGCGAAATTATAAGGAGGAGGGTGAGACTCCGAGGTAACGCTTTGTACGTCGACGAGAGGAATTTCCCGCTTAAAGGTGACGTTTACCTCGTCGGATTCGGTAAGGCGGTTATGGGGATGGCTGTGGAGCTCGAGCGAGTACTCGGCGACACTTTGAAGAAGGGCATTGTCAGCGTGCCGAGTATGTCGAGGGACGCTATGTGGGCCTCCGAGGATAAATCTAGCTTCCCTAAGTTGCACAACAGTAGGATAGACTATCGCGAAGGTGGCGTCAACAATCAACCTGATGCCAGATCGTTGGACACCACACACGACATTATAGACCTGGTTGAAAAGTTAACCGAGACGGATACTCTGGTAGTATTAGTGTCAGGTGGAGGCTCCGCATTGCTGTACATGCCGAGGCCCGTCCTGGCTCAAGAAGACAAGTTGGAACTTTGTAAGAAGCTCCAAAACGCAGGTGCCGATATCACCGAGCTTAACACCGTGAGACAAAAGCTGTCTCTGGTAAAAGGCGGTGGTTTGGCACGTATGGCCTATCCCGCGTCCGTTGTTACGCTGATATTGTCCGATATTGTCGGTGATCCTGTAGACTTGATCGCCAGTGGTCCTACTGTTTATAATCCGAGAACACCGGAGCATGCTGTTGCCATTTTAAAGAAGTATAACTTGTTTCAGTCACTTGAGGGTAACTTAAAGACTGTTGTAACATCCAAGGAGCCGTTTAACGATAAACCATTGTTAAATCCAGCTACAGCTAAAACTGCCACTAAACAATTCAAACACGTGACGAATATAATTCTAGGAAACAATACAATGGCTCTTGAAGCTGCGAAACTTGAAGCTTCGCGCAAAAAATTGACTCCAATAATCTTAAAGAATAATGTCACGGGAAATGTACAAGACGTTAGTTCAGCGTATGTTCACTTAACAAGTCTGATATGTCTCGTTTTACTAAATGAGCTGGAGAGACAAGAATTTTACGACAAAGTACGGACTATGTCAATACTTTCATTATCTACTGACAAAGTCGACGAAATCTTTCATCATCTTATTGGCAATCTCGATGGTATAGTTTTAATCGGAGGTGGAGAACCTACGGTTGTGGTAACAGGTCACGGAAAAGGCGGTAGAAATCAGGAATTAGCTTTACGTTTTTCACTAGATTGGTTAGCAAAAATCAAAACTTATCCGCGATTTGCCGAGTACGATGTGATTATGCTCAGTGCAGGTACCGATGGTCAAGATGGTCCTACCGATGCAGCAGGTGCATTTGGCTATCCTGCTATTGCGCCCGTAATGCACGATTTTTATACAAAAATTAAATCTATGACTACCAAAGAAAATGCACAGGAAATAATGACAGACAGGAAAATGCAGGATTCGTACAAACGACAGCAAACGAGTAGATTTGTAGCAGAATCTAATGTTGAACAAAAAGAACGAGATTGCAGTAGCACGATAGAAAAATCTTCTCGAGAAGATGTTAATGAACATATCGATCATTTAGTATTAAAGACAATGGAAGTAGAACGCATGTTACCTGAAAATGTCTTAAAAGAAAACGATACGTATAATTTTTACTCGCGCTTTAAGAAAGGGACAGACTTAATTAAAACGGGAAACACTGGTACTAATGTTATGGATTTACATTTTATTTATATAAAAAAACGGCCGTGCAAGTGTGAGATTGATTCTTCTGATAAATCAATATATGAAGAAGATATCTTGAACATACACGATTTACACATTGACGCATTGACTATGGAAAAGTACAAGGCTGCATGTGCTCCCTTAAAATTCAAGAAAGACGAACTTTTACAAACTCCATCTTTAACTACTGAAGCAAAAGCGGAAAAACCGTTTCTAAAAAGTATTGATAAAAATTTTACAGATATGTGTTGTACTAAAAAACGTAAAGTTGATTAATTAAAAGTATATCAAGAATACATCTACAAAAAATCCTACATTATATTATCATTACATAATTACGTTGTATAAAATAAATTACATGTTTAATATTTCACTTTGGAAGAAAATAGATAATTTACATTTTGTAAATACTGAAAATTTTTAAATATATATAAAATATTTCAATTATATTTGTGTATCAAAAAGGCACTGCTTAAAAATAAATTTTTTAAGCTACATTCCAAAACATCCTCTCCGAGGAAAATTTTAATTGATAATATAATATTTGTACTATACATTACATGTACTATATTTTGAGTAAAATTATTCTGGGAAAGGACGTTTTAGATTGTGACCTTAAATTATAACATTGCTACGTAACGTATCTATTTGCTTGAAGATGACAATATATATTCTCTATATATATATAGATATCTACAGAGATTGTATAATATATATTTGTATATATGTATTATATTGTTTGTTGACTATACCGACATTTTTTCTTATAACGAAAAAATATAAAACTAATATTTCATAAAGGAATATATAATTACGTAATAACATTTATATAATTAGACACAATATACTTTGGTAGTCTAATACTTTCTATCCTAATACTTTTATTTCGTACATATCATATTGTTATTCTCTGTCAATTATTTTGGTATAGATACCGAATTACTTTGATGGGAACTTTTAAAAGCTTCTTAAAATATTATTTGCTTGCGTATCTAAAGAGAAGAAAAAATTTAATATATAAGTAGAGTCTTTTCTTTCACTGTTTACTAAGTGTCTGTGCAAATAAATAAATATAAACTTTCTTTTATAATGTCTATAAATTGTTATATAAAGATAAAAACGAGATTATTCATTTTTTGTACATTACATTTCTTAGTCATTAGTGTGCATTAAACTTCAAAATTTTAGACGCTAAAAATCTTTGTAATTGTTAAGATTGCTGTTATTTATAAAAATCTTTAAATCAAAATATATATTTCAGTATACCCTGACTTTTTTACTATGTTAATAAATTAGAGACTAGAAATGGAAAATTAAATCCTAAGTTTTTGGACGAAAAGCAGAAGATTAGTATAATCTTATTAATTGTTAACTATCTTATCTGCTAAAGATCCCAACTAAATAAATGATGTTTGACTAGCATATCGCGAACTCCATCTTTTAAAGGCTGCGATTGTTCCTTTTTGGGCGGTAGTTCCCAGTCGGGATTCAAGTTAAATGCAAATTGACTTAATATTCTTAATTCACATTTTATTTGCACCCAACCAGGACTATTTATGAAGCTCCACGGTTGATACCTAAAAGTTACATATTCTATTATATAACAGGAAATAGATATTATATATTGTACAGCACACATGTAATTTGTTTACACTTACCACTTTTGCACTACTTCTACACAAGAACATAAGACTTCTAGCCATAAATGAAGTACTTGTTCGTTTAAACCGAGACAGATCAGCGAACGTAATTTAACATCCATCTGAGCGTGTGCATTGTCGTGTGTTAAATTTACAGATTGAACACAACGATACAATAACTGAAAAATTTCCTTTATTATTTATCGAATATAAAAAGCCCAAGAAAGAAACGTTAATGATGTGAACGAAGAAACACGTGATCAATTGCGGCTTTTTCCTAAGCTTTTTAATCAAATATATATGCGAGAAGAATGACAATAAATGAATATAATCTGTGATACCTCTTCTGGCGTGAGAACTTTGCCATCTTCATCCAATCTGTACGTTTTGCATAGCACTAGTCGACTATAAACAGAGTTGAAATCTTTTTCCACTTCTCTGTTAGAAGCTTCTTCTATGAATAACCACGGATGGCACGGTCCACCCAAAAATGATGGTCTTTTCATTCCATGCTCTAAGACTGCTTTCATAGTGGGACACAATGTACCCCTTACTAAATCAGTAACAGCTTCGCTAACCGCATCGTCTCCAGCGCATGTATATTGTTTACTTCGTTCATCTAGCAATTCTACAAACTTCGCAGGAAACCATCCTAGAAATATATAGTTAGATTAAAATATATTTAAAAAAATTATCATTTAAAAACCAAGAAAATAAGATAATTTACTTTGAACATCTGCATGATTATTATCAGTATATATCACAGAAAATAGCAAAGAAGATAATATAAAATATAAAGCATACACTAAGAAAATATCAAAAATTAAAAAATATAAATAATTAAAATAATAAAACTAATTATTGTTTGAAAAAAATTAACATAATTCTTATCACAAATTCATATATAATATGCAACATTTCAATTGTAACATCTTATATTACCTCTCAGTCCATTAAGTTCTCCTACCCAGCAATGTTCATCTTTTTGACTAATGATTGTAATTATATCATTTTTTCGGAAACCAAGCTCGTCGTCATCGTGTCTCTCAAAATCTGTAACAAAATTAATAGTATAGAACAGCATTTTTCATCATTTGATTCTTTCATCTTCATTTAATTTATTAAATTGTATGAGAATTTTTATAATTTTTTAATAAAGAGATGTCTTCTATTAGAAAAGATATTTACCTAGTAAAGCTTTTGATCGTCTTTTCCGTGTCCGTGACACATTAATATAATTGTCATGGTCTTTTGCATGACTTTCCATTGTATAATCTGCTATAAGAACAATATTGTTTAATTTTGGATCAACATTTATGAAATGTCTTGCAACTTGTAAAACAGCTTCTCTTAGATCGACGAGAATTTCTAAAAATTCATATGTTAATTAGATAAAGACAAATTTTATTGAAAGTTCTACATGGTTGTGCATGTATACCTGTTTGGCGAATATTTTTAGATTTTGCATCGTCTTCGTCATCATCGTTTCCAAATAAAATTGTTTGCAATATTGATTTGTTTCGTTTCATTTGACGTCTGTAAAAAAATCACAAAATATATAAAAATATAAAAATTTCAAATTATTGTGAGCGTGAATTATTATTAAATAAAAATTACATAATGCATTTTTCATCACTTATACCTATTCAAATGTTGTTTCGGCAAATTCGGTACTGCGTCCGGATTCCCTACTAATCCACCTTGATCAGCCATTAAATAAGCTAAGTGGCGACGTCGGTGAGTTTCAACTAATACATCTGTCAGTGATCCACTAACTTCTAAGGATACCTGAAAAATATATATAGAATTTATATTATAAAAACAGACTGTTGTGTGTTGTAATTATTATTTATAAAATAATTTCAAGAGAAATGTACGTTGAATAATTGGTCCACATCATCAATATCTCCTGGTATATCTGAGAGAGCGTTAAATATTTGTGCAGAGTTCTCCAATTGTCTCAAGTCTGTTTCTGAAAGAGAAAAAAATGTTTTTATAAGCATGTGAAATTGTATAAAATAACATCGATTGTTCAAAATATAATATATATTCAAAATATATACCTTTTATCTTCAACATCCCAAGCGTAATTTGAAATAAAACTATAGATCCATCAAAAAGGAACATATCCCATATTCGTAATAATATTTTCATATGCACGACTGATGCAAATAAAGTCAAAAACCAGTGCAGAGATATAAGACTTAATTCTATGTCATGTTGCATCAAAACATGATCAATGTCAGGAAGATAATTAGTTACTAACGTGCGAAGTACTTTTTGGTCAGCTTGAATACCTATGGAAATAATAATAATTTAATATTACACACTAAATTTTTGTAACTTTAAATATTTTAAGATGGGTAAAATGTGTTACCTAGTAATGTCGAAGAGTAATAAGAAGCTGGTAACAAATCTTCCACTATTGTTGCCATCATCCAAAATGCATCTTCCTCTTCCAAAAGTAGTAATAATGATGCTGCCATTGTACCAGTACCTTGACAGTAACTTGATAGGATAAAAATTCTATATTAATATTATGTATTTAACTTAACAAAATAATTTTAAAATTAATTATATGTGTATTTCTCCTTACCCAATATCAGGATATAACCAAGCTAAGGCACGCATGACGCGTCTTAAACGGGGTATACCAGTACTATGGAGATGGCTGAAACACGCATTAGCTGGCATAATGCGGAGGAGATCTTTTTCTATTTGCTTATTGGTCATTAATGCATCATTACTTGAGGCTTTCACTATATCTTTGTACATTATTTCCGATGAACACTTTTTCTGAAGTGCTCCTGTAATTAAAGACGTATTTTCATTGTAATTTGTAATTACAAATTTGTATTTTTATTGCTTATACCTGACATACGCATCCAAATTTGAGGTCTCAAAGAATGAGGTATGCCATGGCGAACCATTTCACGTAATTTATCTGTACGTGGTAGACTTTGGTCTACATTTTGCGAGAAAAGTTCTGCCATTTCTTTATTATAGCTGAATTCCAGAAGAGCGACCCATTGCAATCTAAAAGAGCAAATCCATACGTTTCAATTTTTATATCTTTATTACAAATATAATTGCAACAGTTATATTTTATTAACTTTATGTTATGAAAATATGATTTTAATTAACCTGTGTTGAAAATCCTCAACAAATGGTATTCCTAGCAATTTTTTTGAATTTTGTTCTGGGCCATCTTCTTCTTCCACACGAAAGCCAAATTCATCGAATCTAGATTAATGGAACAGTTATAAATATTAATTTATAACTGCAAATATTTGTAAAATTATTTTGCTGTATTTTTTATAAATAAAGTGTTTTATATATTAAAAAAAATGTATTCTTTTATATATTATTTGGTACATATAAATGTTACCTATATTCAGGTTGTGAATTTGGATCATCAGGTTGATTCAATTTAGCTAAGATATCTTGCGGCCACATGGATGGAGTTAATGCAGAAAATGGACCACCTGGTGCTGGCGATAAAGACTCGCCACACAAACTTCCAACTTCTACTTCGTACTCATCTTCAGAGATAGCTGTTTCTATTTTTTTCTAAAACATGATATTATATTTAACAAACCTAAAACACATGCAATAATAAATGTAGAGAAATTTTTACTATATCAATGTTTTTCGAGAAAGTTTTTCCATTAAGAAAATTGTTTAACTTTCTATTACAATTCCCAAGTTGTATATCAATTTTATTATTTATTTTTTATTAATTTTAATTTTCGTACAATTATTTTTTAAATTTTATTTTTTATACATTCTTCTTCTCTGTTAAAGTTGGAGTCTTTCTAGCATTGTAATCACCTATTCGTTTCTGTTTTATTTAATATATTTGTACATGTTGAGTACATGAAAGAACCACAATAAATCTTTGAGAAACGATTTGGGTAGTGAGGTATTGACCGAATTTGATTCCACATGTTAATCTATGGCAATTTCGCAGAAGTCAACCCAATTTCGTAATGCGACTCCAGACAGTACTTACGCTATGTTCCTCTTTCCCGACGTAACCATCGTGATCGCGAACATTGAAAAACGATTTGGCCAGGTCCATGGTGTGTCCCTGATGTAGTCTCGATTCGTCGACACGTCAAATCCCCATTGACATCTCCCGTGCGTCGTGGCCTGTCAACGTTGCGTGGGTTGCGCCATGGTATAGCACTATGGAGTAACGTCATAACAATAAGAAAAAAAAAGAAAGCGACTGCGTCACACATACGTAGCGTCATCTGGGAGCTTTCGTTTCAAAATCCAGCCAGGTTGAATAAAAAAGTATACAACACGTACATACAATAACGGATATTCCTCGTAAAACATTGAAATTATTTCGTATTTTATTATCGGGATTTTAATTGCACTTTATATCTCTTTTCAGCTTTCTCCAAGTTTTCTAAATTAAATCCAATCACCGTTATCAGAACCATATGAACATAAATTTTGTCCGCTAAAAAAAGAAATAGAATCTGTTGATTTATTTATATTGTCATATGGGAACAAAAAAAAACACAGGAAATGTCATTCGTCTGTGACGTACTTCATGTCGTAGCTTCGACAATTCGTGCCTCACATTCTAACGCGATATTCTATGGTCTTTACTGTTAATTATTGTTAATAATAAATTCAATATGATTTAATTAATTATCTACGCAAGTAAATAAAGCTATTTCAGATGAATAGCCTCTGTTAATTATATTTATACAAAATCTATATTGAAAGAGAAATTATAGTGTACATATATATATCTTAATATATCTTTTTGCTTCATTAACACAATTAATTCAATCATCTTATCTTCAATCACACAGATCATCGATACATCGAAAGGAAAATCAAAAGAATTAAAGTTAGGGGATAACGCCACCCCTAAGGTTAAAAAAAACTTTTTTTTGCTTAAATCATTTTAGTTTATAGAAATATGACAATGCCCGTTTAATCACTCAGCGCTTGAACAGTGAAAAGTTTCTAGGCACCGGCTATTGTGAGTGGTTGTGGTCAAACGGGACGCTCCTGAAATTTTTAATTATGATGTATTTTTAGAAAATTCAAACTGTAGAGTGTTAAAGTTAACTAAATGAACCGTTTCTCGATTTACGTCCTACGTGAACAGCAGCGCAGGCTGTTCAGAGAAGTCTGCTTTTTCCGCAGGTATTTATACACCGAGAATTACATTTGGCTAATATAATATAGATGTTATTACTTATACTAAATCAAAAAATATAAATAATTTTGGAAGCGTCACGGTCCTTTTGTGTTTATACGACGCTATTGACGCATTTAGTTGAAAATCACATGTGTCTCACTGTTCTTATGATAAATATTTTGGTAAGTACAATAAATATAAATATTTTGATTACGATAAATATTTGGAAAGTTTTAAACCTCATAGTGTGGACCCTGTACTTGCTACAATTTTTGCCAAAAAACAGATGTGCGGCGTGTCAAAAAGAAAAAGAAAAAAATTCCAGAGGATCGTATCTTCAAACGAGGTAAAAATTACAGAAGTGAGCAAATTCAATAGACATGTTGACCAATGAGATTATTACAAATATTCGAGTGAATCGCTCACTTTCGTAATTTTCAGCAATTTTTTCACGTATCTCAAGATACACAATCGACCCCCTGTCTGCCGAGATCCCGTTACCTGCGTTAACCTCCAAAAGGCAACAGTAGGTCGCAGCACCGATCGGTCATTTGCTCTGCCCCGTTTCACCCCCCCCCTCC